GCCAGTTCCCTGTTGGTGGAAAAGTCCGAACAGTGTCCTTGAAGAAGCTGCCCAGCTGCCCCACAGTGGCTGCAGCCGCTCTCGGATGGGTAGAGAACAATTTTCCCTTCGGCGATCAGTTCAATCATGGCTCTCAGATTCAGTCAGCAGAGGTGTGTGATTAGCAGCAGAGGTGTGTGATTAGCAGTAATGAATGGAAGAGCAGAGCAGGATGTTTAATCTAACAGTTTGAGAATGGCTGCATTTGCATTGTTTTACAGCACCACAGGATTGGAGAGAAATTATTGTTTTTCTCCATGAAACAGAGACACTGAGTCAGCAACAGGTTGTGTTTCTGATAAATAAATCAGCATCTCAGCGATCGGAGCAGTTTCCCTGCAGTGACTACAAATAGCCTTTTGTTTCATGACGCCGTGCTTTCCAAATTATTTTGTATTCTAGTTTCCAATTTCACATCTCGCTGCGGGCAGCGTTACCGCTCTTTATTGCCTTGAAAGAAAACAGCCCATGCATACAGTATCAGTCTGTGGAAGAAGAAGTTCTATGTTTGGAGCTTTTGTCACACCAGAGCTCCGAGTTGGAGCTGAACCAGGAGGACCACACGGTCGCACAGGCTGCTCACACAGTAAAAATATGTAACCCTAACCCTGCTGAGCTCTTTACTTAAAAAGGGTTTTTTAAATTTCATTTGGAAGAGAAGGCGGTGAGAGCTGTGCTTTATCCACACTAATACCAACTGATCAGTGAGCAGCTCTCCTGCAGTGTTCGGGTCAGATGTGAGGAGAAGACCACTATAAAAGCAGAGGACAGCATTCAGCCCACACTTGCCTGTTCAGAAGCCGAGAAGATGAGAAGATGGGTGTTTCACTAAAGGGCCTCTGTAGTGGTTGCTGTAGTACTGCTGGAGGGTTCAGAGTTTGGGATCAGTTCTGGAAACAGGATGCGGTTTTCCACATGTGAAATAAAAAGCTTCCAGTCTATATTTATTTCAGAACATTCGCTGGGTGAAGATTCCCTGTCGTCACTGGCTGTGACAGATTGTTTTGGAGGTTTATGAGCCGTCAGGTGTGAAAACACGTGAACGCTGACCTTGCAGTGTGCGAGCAGCTTCTGGGAAGTGTGGAAGATTCTGAGGAAATTGCTAATAAAACAGTTCTGCTTCTTTCTCTGCCCTCA